TCGTTTATGCTGCGTTCTCACTGCACTCGTCTGTTGTGTGTAATTTGAATGACTAACAACAGCAGACAACAGCCCAGCGAAGCCTCGTCTCTCATCACCCCTTTCTCACCTCAGCACCACAATGACCACTGTCACTTTGTAGCCCACACACAACCACCACCACCACCCTTAGCACCAACACCATCACCCCTAGCACCACCACCACCACAATACCACCTCCACCAACACCCCTAGCACCTCCAACACACACCATCACCTCCTCCACCTCCACCACCACCATCTCACAACCACCATCTCACCACCACCTCCACTACTCACTGGAACGAGTCTCCTGCACATTCAGCACAGTTACACCGGAGGCCTAGACCTACGGTCACTCTTTCAGTCACTGTGTCAGGAGGGAGGTGTGTGTGTGTGTGTGTGTGTGTGTGTGTTGGGGGGTGGGACGGGGGGTGAAAAGTGTCCAGCTGAATAACACTACCTCTGGGGGCCCTAACTCTCTCTGAGGACAGGTCCTCCTCCTCCTCCTCCTCCTCCTCCTGCTCCTCATCCTCCTACTTCTCTCTGTCCTCCTCCACCCTCTTCCTCTCTCCTACTCCTCTTCCTCCTCCTTGCCTCCTCCTCTTTCTCCTGCTCCTCATCCTCCTCTTCCGCTCTCTCCTCCTCCTCCCACTGCCCAGCCTCTCCTCCTCCTTCACCTCCTAACCCACACCGCTCATTTCACAGACTCAGCAGAACAATCCCTGGTTTGTTTGTGTATGTGGCCCCAAGCTGTGTGTGTGTATACGTGTGTTTTTGTATGTGTGTGTGTGTGTGTGCATGTGTGTAGATGTGCGTTTGTGTGTGTATGTGTATGTGTGTGTGTGTGTGTGTGTGTGTGTAGGTATGTGTGCGCCTGTGTGTGCACATGTATGTGTGCATGCGTGTGTGTGAGTGTATATGTGTGTATACTTGTGTGTTTGTGTGTGCATGTGTACGTGTGCGTGTACGTGTGTATTTGTGTGTGTGTGTTTGTGTGTGTGTGTGTGTGTGTGTGTGTGTGTCTGTGTCTGTGTGTGTGTGTGTTGTCTGCGGCTGGCTAAGGGGCCATGTTTGCGACTTTAGCTCCCTGCTGCGTTTACATGACTTTGATGCTGAATTTCTCCTGCTTTGCAATTCAGTTGTTGTGTTTATGTGTGTGTGTGTGTGTGTGTGTGTGTGTGTGTGCAACTATGCAGCTGGTTTCTGAGCTCATCCCACGGCGGAGCTGTAAATAAAGGTGCTCTCTCTCTCTCTCTCTCTCTCTCTCTCTCTCTCTCTCTCTCTCTCTCTCTCTCTCTCTCTCTCTCTCTCTCTCTCTCTATCTCTCTCATGCACACACACACACACATGGCCTAACCCGCCCTCCCTGCTATCTTCCTCTCTCCCCTGGTCTCATTAGTCTAACTTGTCTTGTTCTTCAGGAAGATCTCAAATCTCCCCCTCTTGTTATTCTTGTTATTTTCCTGACAAGTTGTCTACACCTACCGCAGCGTAGCGTTACACCGTGACTCTACACCGCGGGTGTAGAGACGGGTCGGCGCACACAGCGCCTCGCTCCTCTCTGTATTCGCTCGCCGTTACGTGAGTGAGTACATCCTGCTTATGTTCAGCGAGTGCGCTGCTGTGTCCTGACACAAGCTACCAAAGGTCACGCTAAACTATTCAAGACCACTACCGCTTTGAGAACACCATTACAAATATACGTGCGGAAATATACCCCCGGTGTTATTACGATGTCGTTGTTGCGTACGGAGAGTAGAGAATCGACATGGACATGCATGCGGTATGCTTTGCTACTTTAGTTACATCAACAATAACAACAAAATAAGAAACATTATGATCGTGTGTCCATACCGCCGGCGATGTGGCAGCGTACGAGGACCGCATACGCTCCTCTGACCTTGGAGGCATCGCTGTAGTCACAACAGCCAGCAAACCAGACCACTTCGGTTTTTGTAAGGTTTCACTGTTCTTTAAAACCACGCCTTGGTTGTCTGTTTCGGCCACAGCTGAAACTCATATAGCTAACAAGGCTCCCAAGTCCTCTTTCCCATCCACTCTGAATTGTTTTTGCTTGATGGAAACGTAATGACGGCGCAGGGCGGCGGAGCTGCGCAGGACCCCACAGAGTGTGTATGATTTGTTTCTTCTCAAAAAATGCGAAGCCTCTAATTCACAGCAAATGTGACCCACTGGGTTCGCTTTACCTTTCGAGGTAGGGACTCAATCAGAGGGCAGAAACACAAGTTTATAGACTTCAAATGTGGCCCAAGTACTTTTCTTTCTGGTATTTTTCCGTGAACGTTTTCCAGCCTTTTCGGAGCGGACTCCGGGTCTGCTCGCCACTTATTACGGTACACCGACAATACCACACAATGCAGCGGCCCGTCACCGGGCCAGGAAGGAAGAGTTAGCAATATCCTCAGTAGAAAACACAGAGCCGCCGTGCTCAGTAATACATCCGTGCATTCAGTTCAACCTTGTTAATCACTCATAACCCAAATGAACCATCCCCACCTGTTTCATTTGTCCTGTTCTGCTTGCCATGTTTATTCACATGGCCCACCAGCAGAACTGGAGAGAAATGAACGTGATTACTAAAACATGTGATAACAACTATCGGGGGGAAAGAAACGCCACCACGTTCACACAAAGCGGGCAGATAATCAAAGAAAAGTCACGTCGACATGATAACAGTATTTGTGTCTGCCGTTTTTTTGGACCGTTTTCTCTTATTGAGCGTGGCACGCTGCCAAGAGAGTGTGTGTGTGTGTGTGGTGGCACTGCAGTGTCCCTGGCACGCCGTGGATGCGGTGGCGCTCGATTCTCCCAGGAAGAGCCAGCGCTGCGGTCACGGCGCAGCCCTCATGAAGGGACGTGCCTAATTAAAAAATGTCTTAATTACAAAACAAGATGCAGCGGGCCCAAAAATAGGAGAGAGGGATGTGCATGAGTCGTTTACCCGCAAGTCGTTGGCACAAACAACTGTTCCTCCACCACAGCGATAGCGGGAAAAAAAAAAGCGCTTTTATTTTGTAGTAACATCTTTGTTTAAATGTGGAGTATAAGCATTCAAAACCCCAATTTTTCCAACAAAAATGCATATTTTCAAAAACACACTCGTCAAGTTGGATTTTTGAGGAGGCCGGGGCTGGTCGCTGGTCTTGACATATTTGTGGGATCCTCGGTTGAAGAGCAGCATCTGGACACTGAAGTGCTGGCGGAGGCTTTGATAATGGTGGGCCGCCATCCCCACACTCATGTCAAGGCTGTAAACACAACTGAACCAACTGGACCGGAACAAACAAGTAAACATCTCCTGTTTAAAGATGTAGGGAGGCTTCAGGAGACTTTGAGACCACTTGATGAGGAGGCTTTCATTGGTACCAGACGATGAGTATACTGCGATGCCGGCCTCTGCTTCTGTCATTCAAGTGAGTCAAGTGATTCAAGTGAATCCTAAAATCAAAATACTTTGAAGCTCCTTGGCCGCGATACAAAGAGGTCTAGTGGTTTGCAGGACTTCACTAGGTCAGATTGTATCACTGGTAAATGTACACTCAACCATACAATTTGTGTTGCTGTTGATAGCAAACCTCATGGGAACATCATACAAAGTGGAAAAACTGTGAGCGCTAACCTAAAAAGGTTTGGATGATGGGGAAGTGATTACACACCTGGCTGTGAGGCCATAGAACTCGAGGGGCTGGGATACATGCGGAGTAAACCGCCGTATATCAGCAAACTGTATTTAGTCTATTCTGCTGCTTTCCAAGGACATGTTCGCAACACACAGGAGTGAAAAATACTCTTGTCAGGAAACCACAGATTGCATTTGTATCGCTACCCTTTTTAGTCTTCCTGCCCGCTTTGATATGGTAACATGAGGGCAACTCATCAACGTCAATATGTATATGTGTGTGCATAGGAAAAACAAAGACACACACGCGTTTGTGTGCATGTGCATACTCTTGTGACCACTTCCCTTCATTGGTCTGCTGTGTTTCCGTGCGTGTGGCGTGGAAGTGGGCTGCGACTCGGTGGTTACGACAACTCCTCAGTTAGACAATAGATTCATGAGTCGGACCATGTGTTGAACTTCAATGCTGCACATAAATGCCATGCAATTACTCCTCCCGATACTGTAAATACCACCAAACATGTACTGAAACGACGGTAGGCCTGCATCTTATAGGATCCACAGGCCATCCAGAGGCACGCAGGCACACTTTCAGTTCATTGAAGTTCGTTGAAATGAAACAGATTGATTCTGATATGAAGAAAGGCTAGCTTCCCATTGGCTCATTAGCAGCACTGTAAAGTCACTTGATGAAGCCACTCACATACCTTCTGCACCGCTATCTGACATTAACGATTCTATTGGTTGCAGCCGCAGTCAGCAATAAACTCAACGAGATCCTTCTTCCTGGAGCTGGTTGGACAAACTTCTCCACATACAAACCTATCCAATTAGCCGCAGCAGATGGTCCCTCTCCCTTGCTAGCAATCAGCTTCCTGTGGAAGCAGGATGCCAGCGGTTGGCTCCGGGCGCCGAGGAAGTCACATTGTGCCGCCCCCCCCCCGGGAACTGCTGATGTTAAGATTCAGGGCTTGTCTCACGTGTGTCATTTTCAGGGCAAAGTGATAGTGATACAGTGTCAACCCCTGTCATCTGTCCTGTCTCATCGCAGACACATTACTGTATGCTCCAATAAGACAATATAGTCTATAATACATGACATGGGCATACCTGTCAAACTCATCACACCCATTTCTCCCTGGATTATCCAGTATTTTACCATTTCTCCCGCTGTCTTCCCGTTTAATTCCCGTATTTTTTCTTGGTAGGGATGGTTGGACAACCGGGGCGCCGGAAAATGTCCCTTATTGTCAAATCCCAATGTTGACAGCTACGGTCATGGGGTGGATACTTTATATAAAGCGCCTCACCAAGACCAGTGTGCATGCAGCTCTTGGCATGGGCGGCCCCAAGGGGAATCGAACCGCCAACCCTGGCAGTGTTAATGCCTTGCTCTACCAGTTGAGCCACAAAGGAAATGTCAACACAGGAGTATGAATACAGTGCACAACCTTATGATTTGTTTCAGGCTTTTGGGAGCTTTTTAATAACACACATCTTTGGGTAGAGCTGTGTATACATTGTGTTTAATTGTGTGTGGAGGGATACGATAGTAACACCAGTCATGCATCATGGGCAGCAGTCTGCTCAGCCTTCCAGAGCCAGGACAGCTAAACCCTACTGGGAGAACGTGGTTACGTAACACCAGGCGACTGGTTATCAATCAAATTGCAGTAAGTGAATGGGTTTAGACAAGCGTGAGACGCCTGTGAATGCAGGCAGGGTACCGAGGCCGGGATTCCTTTCCGTTGTTGGTTCCTGAACACCTGTTTTAAATAAGGATTAATTAAAGATAATCGCACCTCTAACGAGGTAGAGATGGGCTTCACGGAGCAGGGGTTGTACTTCTGCTGCTCCACGTATCCGACATCTCCTTTTAATCAGGGTCTCCGCAGTTTTTGTTTTAAAAATATTTACTATCTGTAATCAGTCGGCGTGTGCAGAACTGGGACAGCTGGAGAGACAAATAAATAAATCAAGCGTCTGTGTGTCGTGCGAGTTTTAACAACCACTCGATCATTGAATTTTCGTTAAAACCACATGCACACAAAATGAATACAAGTAGACAATTGGTGCTTAAGATAACAACAAAGGCAGTACATGGCAAAAACAAAAATACACAGCTTTCCACAATATTCAATGTCTAGCATACAGACATGTTCGCCAATGGTTCCATAGTCTGGAGGAGAATCTGACCGAACTGCGTACAGGGTTAACCAAGACTATTATAGTATATTAATCGATTGTTTGTGTACTGTCTATGCTTTGATTTGTTCTTACAGTGATTCATCTGCTCCTTGCAAACTTTGAAAAGGCCATCATCCAATCCTTCCAAAAAGAAGAAACCACCAGTTTCATGCAGACTATACTCAACTCATACTTGCAGTATGAGTTCTGTGTGCATGTGAGCATCAGGTCATATTCAGCTGTGTGTTGGTGCGTCTACATATGCACATGTCTTCACAGTGAGGGGGAGAGCCATGTGTGTATCCTTCGTCTGCGCGCTCCGTGTCGCCATTACATAGGGCATAAAATCCCATATGGCTGAGCTCTCCTGCACCTGTGACTTCTCCGTCTGCAGTCTGGTCTGTTCACAGCCCTGGGAGAACCACCTGGTGCTGGGACACTCACACCCGCGCTGCTTCTGGCACGTCCCGGGGCCCCGCTGTACCCAGGGGCCTTACCACTGCCTTGGGGGCCCTGCGCTGCTGTACCCAGGTGGCCCTACCACAACCGCGGAGCCCCACGGCTGTACCCAGGGGCCCTACCACTGCAATGGGGCCCTACTGCTGTACCCAGGGGGCCCGACCAATTCAGTGAGGTCCTGACCAATCAGGATCAAGTATTTAACAATGCTGTGGTTTAACGTGACCTAGAGTGGAGCCATACCACAGATCAGATGTGAGGTGTGAGGACTCCCAACTCTCAAATGTCAGCTAGAAATGTGTGTCTCTCATTGAAGTATAAATTGGTGTTTGATGCTTCAACAAGATTATCTGCACTTCTGACATTCACTGTCTTCAGTTTCTGCTCCAGACATACAGCCACCGAGCCACATTAAAACTCCTCGAGAGATATCATATCAAGGGTAAAGTTATTGAAAAAACGCTCCATTGGTATCATCCTTTTGGCCAAAATAATGACACGCACACAAGAAACATCATGGAAATGTCATGCTTGTTTTTTCCAACCACCCCCCACGTGGTCACCATGATAAATAGATAATAAAGATTGTGCATCGTCCATCAATGGCCATATTGATCATACAGATTGTACACATCTCTGCGACGCACAAAGAAAACACAACACTCATAAACAACAGAGATGCACTTCCTCCCAGGTTTTCTTAGCGGCACACATCTGGATTTCTCTCGAACATCCTGACACATCCCCAATGTGACCTGGGCTGGAAACCATTTGCTCACCGGCAGGGTCGTCACTTCTGCCAAAAGAACGAGCGTGAGGGTGGGTGGGGGGCGGTGGTTGTGGTTGGAGGAGAGGGGCCGGGGATACAGAGTTAATTTGGCTCTGAGTGAGGGTTGTTCCGTAGCACTGTGATAGCTGTTTGAAGATGCGATCTCCCCTTTGATTTCCATTGAGCCGGCAGGATGGGAGGGTGCCAGTGCCCCACTCCCCGTGGGACACCCCATCCCACCCGCACTGGGGTCAAGCGGACTCTCCTGTAAACACTGAGTCAACGCCCTGGAAGAGGCTCTGCCAGGCTGATGGCTCTCGCTGGACCGCCTGGGGCCTGATGCAGGATAGAGAGACATGGAGAGAGAGAGAGAGAGAGAGAGAGAGAGAGAGAGAGAGAGAGAGAGAGAGAGAGAGAGAGAGACATGATGTGTGTGGTATTTTACTAAATCCTCTATTTGACTTCCTTCCTTTTGGCTGCTAAAAATTGTTCCTCTTGTGCTTTGCTCTTCTGCCTTTCCTTTGGTTTTTCATTTATTTGTCAGTTTAATTTATAATCCACGTCAAGAGAATAGCATGAGAAGAATATGGGTCAAATATTGGAACAATCATTTCTGTGATGTAAATAAGAATGGTAACAAATGTAACGGTGGAAAGACCGCGCATCTAAAACAGATGCGTCAGATTTTCACTTGAGTTGATTTCTGCTGGTTTATTGCATCCAGATAGAGAAGGAATAGCCTACTGATGTCCACACCGTCCAACTATATGCAGAATCCCCTTCTTGTAGCCTCCGCTCCACTGATCACACCATGGTGATGGAGACGGGACCGAGGCTACGTACCGCTTTAGACTTCATGCATGAGGCTTAAAGAATAATGCCGATGTGTTTTATTTGTATCGCTAATGAAACAACCAAGTAAGCAGCTAGCTAGCTAGTCTACGCTGCAAAACGTTAGCATGAATTCATGGTTTCCGAGACAAACTGGAGACAAGAGGCTTTTAAAGGAACCTATAATTATGTTTGCCTCATCCTTGTGTTTATCACCCCAAAAAAAGTAATGAACTAGAGACATTGCATGACCTAAATGAAGGCTTTAGAAGCAAGACAACAAACCGACTGGCGGTAGTGTAAAGATGAGTTATTATCGGCTGGTGGGGCTGTGCGTGATGCCCTGTGTGTCACCACATTGAAACGGTTCCAGCAGCGACTAAATGAAAACATGTGGCAGCACATGGACTATCATCTTAATTTAGGAAACATGGAGGGGGTGGGGGGCGGGGGGGGGGGGGGGGGTTCCCAGAGCGGCTGCATTTGTCATGTGGGAAACAAATCCTGGAGGAACACTTGTATGGACATCTGAAAACACCCATTTGTACATCATCTGTGGCATTAGCACTTGCATACAGAGCATAGCTGTGAGCCTTTCTTCTTCCATTAGCCGCTGGCCACAGCTTTCAACGAGGACACATCTCCACTAGCGCTATGTCAATGGGACGTCCATCTAGGTGGTAAACACGACGTCGTCGGAAACAAAGAGTCTTGTTCGGGGAACGGAAGAGTTTAAATGAATGCAGACTCATGAAGGTTACAGGGAGATCAAGCCGACTCGTGGATGCTTTGGAGAGCTGAAAGTTTGAATACAAAAGGGGCGCGCAAAACATTGAAAGAAAATAATCATTTACTTTCAAGGAGTGGTGGTGGTGGGGGCTAGGGGTGCTCGGGGCCGCCCATAACCACCACCCAGTCCCCACCCCAGAGGAAAGGGCACATGGCTGATCTGATAAGCAAGAAAACCCAAGGAATTGTCGATTTAAAAGCTCCAAGCTAATAAAAAGAGGAAATGATGTAATTGGGTTCATCTGTTGTTCGTTTGCAAGGCCTGTGCTTGGGATGTTGAGGCTTGCT